GCAAATATGCTACGCTGCCCCCATCATTAGTCAAACCTCCAAAACAACCATACGCAAACTCCAAATCTTCCAAAACAAAATCCTCCGCCGGATGACAAGACCCCCCTGGTACGTTCGTAACTCACAAATTCACGCAAACCTTCAAATCGAAACCGTGCAACAGTTCGTCTCAAAGCTCCATGAAAACTTCAAAACTCGCGTCCTAAACCACCCAAACCCACTCATTAAAGACACGTTTACCCAAACTATCCCAAACCAACGATACAAAACCCCGACAAGTTTAATGGCAGACCCCCCCTGGTATCACCCGCCTTAAGCAGTTGATTCCCGACATCTCAAACCTCCTGGAAAGTAGCTAAACTCTCAAACTCTTCCAAATTTAACTCTCTAGGCCAACCGCCACAAACCACTACTTTTCGCGCTCCGTACCCCTACTTTTTTTTCTTTCTTCGTTCGCTCTCAGCCCCGAAACCACCAAAACCCCCGCCCCAAACCCACCAAGGCTCTTGCAGGCTACCATTAAATACAAAAAGCCTTAAATGGCTATGTCTGCGGTAAACATCATGTCACAGCAGTTAGATGTGTTTCAGCAGGTTTATATATCTTGAGTCATTCCGTGCATTTTCCATTCCTTTAAATATTGCACTTAGGTGTTTGATATCAAAGGCGAATACAGTAAGACGAAGTAAGAAGAAGTAACTACTTTCAATAAGTGAGTGAGACCTGTTTGAAGGTGATATGTGGTGCTCTATCCCTTCTGGAAAACTGCCTGTTCCTCTGGCTAATATGAGTCAAATTTTGGTGTTAGTCAGTTATTTGTATTTTCTGTATTTTTTTAAATTTTTTTTTAAATTAAACTTTCTTTAAATTTATGTTATTGTTTCAGGCGATGAGCTTCTTTCTATAAATGGATCATCATTCCAAGGACTTTCTCATTTAGAAGCAATCAATCTCTTTAAGAGCATTAAAAATGGGGAAGTTGTCATCAAAGTGGCCAAACGGCATAAATCAAGAACTAATTACCAATCTGTGTAATTATATATTACAATAGTTATTAGACATTTAACCAGGACCTACCCTACTAATTTTAAGACATAGGGTCACCATTATTAAACTGTTAAATGCTATTAACTTTTAGGTTTAAGACTATTATTTAATTGTTCATAAATATTTCAATGTAATGCTGGGTACTTAACGATAGATTCTATGTAATAAATTCGTTCTAAAATATTTACTCTAATAATACAACTGGCTTAATTTTTGGATTAGTGTATATTATCACATCGCTATATCACTTTTCGCACAATAATACTGATTGCACCCATATAGCTTAGCTATAACTGTAAAGGTATATGTTTTCAAATAAAACGATATGTTTTTAAAATGATAAATGCAAAACTTGTTCTACTTTGAAGAACAAGTTATAACATTTATGTTACATATACTCTTTGGTATGTCTACAACAGGGTTTTCCAAACTATTTCGATAACGGAACACTTTCAAAATATAACTTTCAACTTTAATGGAACACTTATTTTATTTCAACACCTAAAACGAAAAGAAGGTCACCGTATTTTCCATGAGGCCCACATCAAGGCGTATGAAATGTTAAGCAAATGTTCAGAACTCAGTTTGGCAACAACTGGTGTACATCCTTTCGCCTTTATCCACATTTCTGTGGTGGCTCTAAGAGTCCAGTCATTTAGAGCGCTTGCTACCTATCAGTTACTTAACCCTATTGAGGTTCGGCAGTTATTGGGTTCTCGGAAGATTCGAGCCTTGCCAATGTTGAGAAAATTGCATCGCCTCTCGAGCAGTCACTATGCTAGTATACCCTCCGGGGAAAGGGGTTCTACTTTGTCGTGGTCTCGGATCTCGAGGGCGCCGACGGAGCAAACGGACTCCGGAGTTGTGGCCGTTGCTGGTTGAGCTATCAGCATGCTATTAGTCAGTTACCGTCTTAACTGGTAAAGCGAAAGAACATCGCTGGAACTCGGGCTAAACCCACTGGAGTCGGGCGTATAGCTTGCTGCTGTTCGGCTTTTTAATGCATACAAATGGCAATAAACTGGAATTGATTACTCGGAATACCGGAAAACTAATTGGAGCTGGACGTGCAGCTCGCTGCCGTCCGGCATCTAAATATATGATGGTTGCTTTTAAGGTTTTGGTCCAAGTAGAAATTTATATGAAGAATAACCTAAAAAAATTAATCATAAAAAGTTTCCCATATGATGCGAACTTTCGTGGAAACACTGTATACAATAATGAAGATTTAAAAAAAAAGATAAAACGTGGGACTCTCAGTGTCCTCGAAATTCTACAATCGCTCGCGGGGCTTTATAATTACATAAAACATAATATAATCCCTGCTGACAGCGCTTCAGGAGGCGAGGTGTTGGGGCACATGGACACAGCGCGGCATCAACTCAAAAGTGTCTAAAGATACAGTGAACCAGGCAGTTTTTTGTCGAGATTTCCACCTTAAACCTCTTTTCCACCCTAAGTGTACTGTCAAGTGAGACTACCCTTGCACCTCTGAATGGAATGTCCCCATGCATGGTGGTCCCTATACTTGCACCGCAGCGACCTTCCTGTGTATCCGCATATTTCATGCAATTCTTGGTGTCGTCGGTCATTGCTAGACAGGCCGTGGCAGTAGCCTTTTGCATAACTTTCTCTACGTGGGAGTTCAGTGGTTTTTAACAATATCAATAATGCTTTCCGAATCTCTCGTGCTTAGGAATGATTCGATACAAGTAAATACAAGTACGTATTCCATACTTTCTATTTCGATACTGCGTACTTTGATAATTGAATCGTTCCTTCGATGCAAATACCTGGTCTGTTGAAAAACTTGAGTTAGATATGTCACAGCCATCATCTACAAGCTATTCAAAATTAGAAAACACGTTGGAAGGAAAAAGTGTTTTTGATGCTAGTGGGTACGGATAATAACATACCTCCCCAAAGCACTTTTACAAGTTTCGGCCAAAAAAGGTAAATTCATTATTTTTAGGATTTTTTCTTTATTGAATATAATAGATGTTACCATTCCGCTGATAAGCCGAACCACGAGTTCCAAAAATTGTGAACGATGCATATAGGATAGCCGAGCGGAACAGGAGGCAGGGGGGTCCATTGGAAAGAAACTGGACGAGGCCAGTTTTTGAATAATCGTCGGTACAGTCGGTTGCAAGTGGCCAATAAAAATTATTTTGTGTGAACACATTGCGTTTATTTATTTATTGTTTATATAGATACAGTTGAGTCCGGTTATAACAAACTTAAAAAATGAACCAAAACTGGTTCCATATCCGGAGTTCGCTATAAGCGAATAATAATACAAAAACACGTGGTGTATTTTATTTCGTTATTTTTACATAAAGTAGTAGAAGTTAGTAGGTTCCTAAAAAAAACACAATTTGAAATCTACTTCATAAAGTCTGTAATTTTTGTTTGTACATTTGTGCTGCAAAAATAGATTTTATTTATGTGGTTTTCAAGATCGCAAAATGACTCCCAAATATGATTAGGAACTTGGCGTGAATGTAGAAAATTCCGAGTTTCTGACACTTTTTTTGTCATTTCAGAAATGGTTGGAACAGCATTAGTGTCTACAGTAAAATACGTTTCACCTAAATCGTCATCTTTTCATAATTTTCTAACCATTCGTTAAGTGGAATTTTATTATTGGGTTCATAATAATTTTATTTTCTTACAAATCCACCGTGCTTAAAGCAATTTGCAATGGTTTTTCGGCTTTGCAAGCTATATGAATGAAATTGACTGCATCTAAGAGATTGATAGAAAATGTTTCATTTTTGTCTATCGCCTCTACCATTTTCATAAGAAGAATTTTTCTATAGTGACATTTTAGCGAATGTATTACTCCTTGATCCATAGGTTGGAGCTTTGCACTTGTGTTCCGTGGCATAAAAACCAACTGGATTTGTTCTAATTTAACATCAGGGTGCGCGGGACAGTTGTCGACTAAAAGCACAATTTTTCTGTTTTTAAGTTTTAGATTCTCATCCCATTGACGCAATTCAGTTCTAAAAATGTCCGATGTCATCCAAGCTTTGCCGTTTGCTTTGTAGTTTACTGGCAAAATCTTGTTTTTGAAACATCTAGGATGAGCTGACTTTCCTATCACCAATAACATTTTATTTTGTCTGTTTCCGACATGTTTGCCGCCACCAAAACGGTAAGGCGTACTTTAGATAACTTGCCCCCAACACATTTTTCACCGACAAATATTAGTGTTGTGTCGGGCGTGAGTTTATAAAATAGGCCCATTTCGTCAGCATTAAAAATATCTTTGTACTTATAACTGTCTCGGGTGGTAGACCATACATTATGCAACCAATCATTGACCACATTCATGTTCACACCGGCAAACTCTCCAACAATTTTTCCGCTACTGATATTATGCCTCTTCTTGAAACGCTCTATCCAACTCCTAGAACAAACAAACTCTTTTTTTGATTTTACTCCCCATTTCACTAGCATTTTCTTGCAAAACACTGCCACTCATGGGAACGTTTTCTTGTCTTTTCATTTGCAGATAATTTTAACTTCTTACATTTAACATTTGTTTTGTCATACGCTGATAAAATGTTTTCTCTGTTTTTTCATATTGTTGCAACAGTCGACTTCCCAAGTGCTAATTCCTTACAAATGTCACTGCTTTACTCCACTTTTTATTTTGTTAATAATCTCGTACTTTTCATTTAGTGAAAAAGCTTTGCGTTCTTGTTTTTCCATTCTAAAACGATTTACATACATAATGCGGCAAAAAATAATAAGTCATTGGTTGTCTCTCGCTCTCACTAATATAAACAACTTCCCAGGATTGATGTTGCTGAGCGTGGAAGTTCGTTATAAACGAAAAGTGAATATACAACTAAGCTAAAAAGTGATCCTTATATCCGGAAGTTCGTTATAAACGGGATCGTTATAACCAGTAAAAAAATACGTTGACCTTTATGGATGACGTTTCAATTAAAGAAGAAAAGTTCGTATTAACCGAAAGTTCACTATAGTTATAACCGGGTTCATTATAAGCGGACTTTACTGTATATCTATTTTGGAGGAAATTTTTGTCTGCAAGTATATGCGGCCTTTCAACATTGTGGAAGGAGAAGGATTTGTACGCTTTCTGAAAGTGCGTCGACCAAATTTTAAGGTACCTAGTGTAGCTTGTTTAAAAAAGAAGACCCAAGAAAAATATGAAGCTTGTGTAGCTATAGCTAAAGCTAAATTGTCAAAGATTGACAATCTCAGATTGGACATTTGGACAGAAACGATAAACGAGCGAGGTTTCTTCAGTGTGACATGTGATTTTCTTCAAAATGGTAAAATGCGTATGCTCTATCTAGCTACTCGTGCGCTCAATGAAACATTTGCCTTGATTTTCTCACACAATAGATCACATTGCTGAAGGGGCTTTAAGGTTCGTGAAATTGCGCATTGGATAAAAAATCGTGTTATTCATGGCCGTTTGCACCGTGTGTATTTATGGACGACTTAGCGTTAAGGCGGCCTTAACAGACAGCTCCCGTTTGCACCGCCAGCAATTTTGGCGTTAAGGACTCCGTAAACTAAGCCGTCGGCGACGATGGCTTAAGATTCTTAAGCAGGCCTTAAATTGATTTTAACCTAACTTTTGCCATATGTGTGATTCGTTGTGATTTATTTACGAAGATATTTTCTACTTTTCGTTCAACTTTGTCTCCAAATGGATCTTCATGACCTTTTACTCAATGACGATTTAGATTTTTTGGAGATTATTGAATATGGGTATCCAAGAAGGATTTATGATAGAGCAGAGCCTTATCTGAATTTGGACAACTTGTCCTTTTTCAGAAAATTTCGCTTGACGAAACCTACAGTTTTAAATTTATTATACAAAATAGAATCTCTCCTTGAGTTTCCGAACGATTTGTAAGTATGTAGCTACTTTCGCTTCAATTTCTCTCGGTACCGTATTATCTAATTGTCCAAGTCTATATATAAAGTACAAAATTTGTTTCTAGAAATAACGGCATTTCCCCAATAAACCAACTGTTGACATGTATGCGATATTATGCCAGTGCTGGACATATAACTAGTGTCGCAGACTTCATGGGCATGCATGTTTCTACAGCCTCAAGAATAATTCTTAAAGTATCAGAAGCACTATTCACTTTATCTGATAGGTATATAAAAATGCCCAGTAATGCTGAACTTGTTAA